AAATTCCAAAAAAATGAAAAAAATATAGAAAAAAAAAAAAGAAAAAAAAAATTTAAAAATAAATAAAAATAAAATAAAAAAATAATAAAAAAAACTTATTTTAAATAAAATATCGTAAAAAGAAATTAAAATAATAAAAGAAAAATTAAAAAAAATAAATGAAAAAAAAGAAAAAAAAAATAATAATAATAAAAAAAAACATGTAATGTTGTTCGAATATTTCATTACGGTACGCGAAGTTCCAACAATTTGCCTTAAGGCACGATGCCATTCACCACTAGTTTTAATTTTAATTTTGATGAATGTATAATTTATAACTTATTCTCCTAATTTTAACATACTAAATCTTCTAACATAAATTAAACATTTAAAATTGTTTCCACAAAGTATTCCGGTTCAGGTTATGAACAATAGTGTTTAATAAATGTTAAATTTAATTTAATATATAAATATGTTTATATATATATATATATATATATATAAAATGCTCAAATTTTATACTAAAATTGATATTTATATTAAAACTTACCTTTTAATGTTCCTCACAAGACTTTCACACAGACTGAAACCTTCTACCAAACTAATAATAATATTGTAAAAATTATTATGTAATCACAAAATAATAGAGGTGATGACACTAGTAGATCTATAAATATCTCGATCGGTAAATAATAACTAGTGGTGTATGGCATCGTGCCTTAAGGCAAATTGCTGGAACTTTCCGTACCGTGACGAAATGTTCGAGGAATACCGAATGTTTTCAAATAGATTATTATTAATATTGTAACATTGTTTAATATTTATACGAATTATATAAACTGAATTGCAAAGTTGAAGTTATTTGTTTAAAGTATATTAGAACTTTAGTCAGAATTACAATTAAAATCTGAATTATTTTCGATATACAAAAAAAATTGAAACAAATTCTTTTTCCAATTATTTTGTTAAAACAAGCAAAAAGTTCTTCGAATCATTTAAATCGGATACTTAGTTCACTCAAAAACTGCCATTTTTTGCACATTTAGCTCTGTATCTTCAAAATGGCGGGACCTGTCTTTGCCAAAAACTAGTCACCTCTTCTCCCAATCATTACAAATTGAATGTTTTTTAGATAATTCAAATTCGATGCTCCGTTCTCTCAAAAACTCGATTTCTATTTTCTGCACTCTTTGTTCCGTATCTCCGTAACGGCCGGACCTGCCTTTGCCAAAAACTAATCATCATATCTCCCTATTAATAGGAATCGAATGGTAAATGAATCATTCAAATCGGTTGATCCGTGCGCCCGAAAACGTGGACATACGCAATTTTTTCTGAGGTATGCCAAAATGTTCAGAAACCTCTGAAACGTGAAGATATGCAAAAATTATCATTTTTAATTTTCGGCCCATTACTATAACTAACCTAAGGGAAGTTATAAAACGAAAGAGTTGCACGTTGAGATTATTTTTCAGACATTTTTGGAAAAAATGTCAGTAAAATATCAAAAATGTACATAACTTACAGGCATAAATTTTGAAATTTGACAAAATATTAGTTTTTGACCTACAATTTGCACATATTTTTGGATCTGTACAAAATGAAAGTTTTTGAATCAATGCAGTTTCAAAAACGATTTTGGACTTTTGCATGAATATAAAATATAAAAATGCTTACCTTTATCTTATATTTAAAATATTTTAACTTAAATTTGATAAAATATTAGATTCTCGTCTATGAGTTGCCCATATTTTAGAATGAAAATTTTAGCATTGATTTTGTTCTAAAAAAATTTCTGGTCTTTCAATTATTATTTTAGCACCACTTTAAAAAGGCGTGGCGCCATCTAAACAAAACAAGGCAAAACTAACTACATTTTCAGGGTAATAAATTTTCGTACATTATAGCACTGAGGATGGCATACGATTATATGTCGAAACGTTTTATAATTATTTTTTTAACTCATAAATATAAAAATGTTAACCCTTATCTTATACTTTCACCATAATCCTGTTTTACAACCACTTTAAATACGCGCAGCACCATCTGCATAAAAAAAGGATAACACTATCTACATTTTTGAAGTAACACTGAAGATGACATAAATGAAAAAAAAAATGTAATTATATATATATATATATATATATATATATATATATATATATATTTAAAATATTAATTTAATTACCAAAATTGTTTTAATTTCAGGTTCGACTTTCATTTAATTCTGAAGACAAGATTTTTGAAGATACAAAACTTGCAGCTGAAAATCTACAAAATTTAACTCTAGAATAAAAATATAGTTTATAATATCTATAATATATATATATATATATATATATATATATATATATATATATATTTATATATATATATATATATATATATATATGTAATATAAATATACTATGTATATAATAAATTAACTTTATTTATAGATAATATACAAACTAGTCGTGATATACTTATGAACTAAATTTGTGATTTTGAACACTCTTATTAATAGATACATATATATTAGGGTGGTCCTTAATATGGACATTTTCGAATTTCTTTGCTCCCAAGGGCTCAAACGTTTACAAATTAATACAAAAAAATCTTGTAAAAGTTTTAGCTGTTAATATTAACATTTAGATAGTCCGCAATTCAATTAAAAATTTCGTATATTCATTACCACCATATATTCTGGCGCCATCTGTGATAGCATTCGTTAACTCAAATATTAAGACACTTAAAAATATTTATAAATCACTCAACCTCTAATTAAATCCATAACAAAATATTTTTTCAAGATTAATTTTGCTCCAAAATATTTATTTAATTGGTGATGTAGAAACTCAAATTATCAGTAATAAATTGCCGTCAAAATTGCATGTCCGCTATCACAGATGGCGCAAGAAATTATTTAATTAGAAAAAATATACGAAACTTTAACTGAATTGCGGATTATCTAAATGTTAATATTAAGAGCTGAAATTTTTACAGGATTTTTTTGTGTTAATTTAGAAGCGTTTGAGCCCTTGGGAGCAAAGAAATTCGAAAATGTCCATATTAAGAACCACCCAAATATATATATATATATATATATATATATATAATTTTTGGGCAGCTTTTATACAAATATAAAAAGTACAAACTACAAACTACAAAATATTCAAGATCATTAAATGAATCACATAATTGTATAACTAAAAACTTCTGTTATAATTTTTTTTATAAATTATTATTAATATTGACAATTTCCATACATTATACTACTGAATCATACTGAATACTGTCAAAATGTCACGTATTTGCTGTGCATTCAGGCGTTTTACACATAAACTGCAACGTAACTCGTATGTTATGAAGCTGAGTCAGAAAGACCCTGTTATCTAACATCGTTTTTTTGACATTGGCGCGGCTTGTAAGTGAGATTTTTTATGTGACAACCTGAGAAATACGTCTGACTGCACAGCAACCGCATGGCTTTTGTCAATATTCAGTATGGAAAGTTCTTCATAACATAGCCTTGCCATAACATTTTTCTGTTAAGCGGCAGAATCGGTCCATTAATAATAAAGGTTAATATAATTTTTAGAATAAAATACGCTCAGTGATTGTTTAAATAAATTTAAGTAAGAATTTTACTTCTAATTAAATTATTCTTTTCAGAAATTTTTATTTTGATAAACTTACGAGACTATAAAAAAAACTAGCATTTTTTTGATTTTAATAATTAAGAAAAATCAACTAAATTAATTTGTCTTTGTAAGAAACAGCTTAGATATTAAATTTAATTCAATTTAAATAAAATAAAAAATTAAGATTTAATAAATAGGATGAGGGAATGGAGGTAAATACCAAAGAAATTTACTTTATACTGTTTTAGTGTTTTGCGCACTCCACAGAGGGTCTACTGTTCCCAAAATAATCATTTAAACAATTTAATATTTTTTGCTAGACATTTTTGGGAAAACATATTTGTGATTTATAGAAATTTACTTATATATTATATAAAAATCCTCTGTACGGATGTATAATTTGACACTTCTCCTAAACTTTTATTCGGATTTTGATAAATCTTTCTGAAGTTTGTCAAGAGAAATTTTTAAGATTTAACGAACGATAAGACTATAGTAATATTGTAGAAATAAATGGCAAAAATTACAAAAAACCCACTTATCATTGTTTGACATTGAAAACATTTGCAGAAACAAGGTTATTCGTATTTTGATAAATCTTTTTAGAATTTGTCAAAGGATTTGTTTTTGTTTGTTTTGTAATTTAAGATTTAATGAACGATAAGACTATAGTAATATTGTAGAAATAAATGGCAAAAATTACAAAAAACCCACTTATCATTGTTTGACATTGAAAACATTTGCTAGAAATGTCAATTCACTTGAAAGTTGAATTTAGCTGAAATTATGAGCCTAGATAATATTGGAATATAATATACAAAAAAAATGTAGTGTCTACATTATTATTGCCAGGAATAAATTTGGAAAAAAGACAAAAACACACGAAATTGCACATGAAACAAAAAATTGATAAAAACACGTAACACGTACTCCAAGCTGACAACATGTTCGTTTGGAATAAGCTTTTTATAATAAAATATATTATTCATTTTAATTTTACAATTTTTTAAATTTATCATAACTCGACGTTTTATCAATTTTTTATTTCATATTTATTTTTTCGTGCAATTTTGCGTGTTTTTGTGTCACTTTTCAAATTTATTTGTATGCACTGAAGATGGGTCAAATCAAGACCCAAAACGTATGTTCTCTGAATAAAAACATTTTTCAATAAAACTGTTTTTTAATTACTGGATGGATGCCCAAGAAACAATTTTATCATATATATATATATATATATATATATATTTCTTATCATTCACGTGCTACACTTAGTAGCGCCTCTATGGAGTGCGTAAACAATTAAAACCAAGGTACAGGCAAAAATCTATTAATACTTCTTAATATACTTATTAATTTTACCCTTAATTCTACTCAGTAACAGTACTGCTCTCCTCGTCATTGCTCCTTCCCTGACGTCATTGCTTCTGACGTCATTTGCATTATTGTCCCTGTCGTTCTTCGAGTCGCCACCAGAGCCGTTGTTAGCGCCACCGTTCCTGTTGCCGCCTTCATTGCGGTTTGCGTTCTGGTTCGAGTCAGGACGCACACCAGCACCCTGGTTCGAAACCGGTTTGTCGCCGTCGCGGTCGAAGAGGTAGCTCGTGTGAGGGCGGTAGTAAGGGTCTCGGCTGGGGGAGGAAAAATGTGAAGTGAAACTTCTTTAGGCGCGAGAGAAAGTAATTTGATGATAGTAAAAATATGTTTTATATGTGAAATTTTTTTGTACGGATGTGTGAATTCAAACTTCTTCTACACGGTTTGATAGATTAATCTAATCAACATCTTACAAAATTTTCCTTGACAAATTCCAAAAAGATTTATCGTTATTTGACGAACCGTGTAGGAGGAGTTTCCATTCATACAACCGTATACAAAAAGATGTAACAAAATTTTGATAATCTTATTGTATACGGTTGTATGAATGCAAACTCCCCCTACACGATTATTCCAATAACGATAAATCTTTTTGGAGTTTGTTAAGAAAAATTTTTAAGATGTTATGAAATATAAAAATATAGTAATATTGTAGAAATAAATGGAAAAATAGCAAAAAATAATATTGTTTGACATTGAAAACATTTGAACCGTCATCTGCTAGAAATGTTAATTTACTTAGAATTTGAATTTAGGTTGAATTATGAGCTTAGACAATATTATTAATTATTAAATTTTTCTGTACGGATGTATGAACGCAAACTCCTCCTACACGGTTATTCGAATTTTGATAAATCTTTTTGGAGATTGTCAAAGAAATTTTTTAAAAAAATATGAAATGTAGAACTATAGTGATAATGTATAAATAAATACAGACTACAGAAAGAATACATGCAAAAAATAAGATATCATTGTTTGACATTGAAAACATTTGAGCTGTCATATGCTAGTAATATCAATTCCCTTGAAATTTGAATTTAGCTGAAATTATGAGCCTAGACAATGTTAGAATATAATATGAATAAGAAAAATTTAATCTCCACATTACAACTGTATGCATTCATATCCAACTTAGGTTATAGGCTATATTAAAAATCTTAGTTGATACTCTAAGTGTTAAAATTTTAAAAATTTTAAGGGATTTTGACAGTTATGAAAAGAAAACACCTTGAAATGAGGTCAAGGTTTATGGATACTTTGGTCGGGTCAGCTAGTATATATATATATATATATATATATATATATGTATGTGCAAGCATTTCCCAATCATTCTATTACTTCAGCATAAATAAAATCATCTCATTTATGTCAAATTAAAAATGATTTTGTTTGCACGCAAAGTACATTTTTATTCGTGTTTAATGAACTCATCCCATATAATGACACGTATATGTCATACAACATGTCATGTCATGGTCATTGAACATTTAATATGCATAACGATTTATTATATTTCAGTATTTTGCTGTTTGGCCTTCTATAGTACAAGTTATATAACAATCATTGCACATTTTTAGAATCAATATTAATAATTTTAGGTATTATATTTTTGAAGTAAAACTTCTTTAGGCGCGACTAGAGTGTAAATCCGTACTAATGCAACGGAAGTGCGTTACGGCAGATAAGAGCTGATAAGATAAGAGTCGAGTGCCAATGATTCGTCATTCGCTCTCGATGATAACATTTCTATACGGGTCGATTGTGATTAGTCGTCGTGTATGTGAATAGAGATCTGTCGTTGTGTGCGTACCGGCATCAACGTTGTTTGCGTACCGATACCAACAAAGAAATCGGCATAGATAAATAAATATTTTAAAGTTACACCGTAGCACAAATCTTGATTTAATGAAAAATGCCTGAATCAGGAATATTTTACCCTGTTTCTTGAAAATAATAAAACAAATTAAAGATTTGTGCCGTGTACTAAACGTATGTTTATTGATTAGAAATTATTTCTATATTATTCGCAGTTTTTGTAAATTTTTGAAGTTATTAAAATGAAAAATATTTTTTAGGCAAGACAGATATTACAGCTGTCAATGAATGTATGTTAATTTTAATTACATGAAGTTCTTCAAACACAATTATTACATGATGAGTGAAGTTGCAAAAATAATATTTGTTTAGGCGTTGTTTAACATATTTCACAGTGTGAACGAATATTAAAGAAGTTATTAATCAGCAATGACAAACCGATCATGTCACATTTGAAGTATGACTTTAATTGCATTATTGTTCTTAAATATTATACATATTTTTAATGCTATTATAAATATATAATTTATAATTTATCATTATATAAATGTGTATAATGGTTGACACTAATAAATGTGTGCATCACGAGTGTTACCATATTACTAATAAGCATTATTCAAAATTGTTATATGATGTATTGAAAGCCCCGTATTTATTTTTACTTAAATGCCATCTCGTACAGTAGCAAATAAGTTTTACTTCAATCGCTTACGCACTTTTTTTATTTTTTTTTCTACTTACTCCAACGAATGCAGATTTCCACAACAATTCGAAGGACGTCTGTCTCGATCAGAATAATATCCAGGACCAGTAGGTCTTTCCCAAGACGATTGAACTGGTCTGCCTCCTCTGATAAATCCCATTTATTTATTAAAAATTGCCATTTAAAATTTTACCCTGACCTATTTTCCCCAGATTATTAGCATTTAGTTTTAACACCAGACACAAAATAATTAAGCTCCAACTACCATACATTATGCTACTGAATCATACTGAACCAAGGGAAATAGGGATTCTAAAATCCTTAAAAAATCGATCACGTAATAGTTGAAAGCCCCCTTTATTAAAAAAATATTTATCAAAAAAGGGGAAAAACCAAGATTTTTAATTATAAACGCTGTTGTTACTTTGTTAAATAATTGTTAGGGTTAGTTTTTTGTAAATAAATATTTTTTAACCATATTTTTTATATCAAAGTTTAGTCAAACTTGATTAGTTCATCAAGAAACCAATAAACATATAAATATTATTAACAATATCAGCCCAGCAAATATTTGTCTAAAACCAACATGCATATCTTCCCAAATCATTGTTAAAACTTAAAATGTTAAGCCTCAAAAACTTAAAGTTATTATTATTTTTTATATTTTCCGGGAAACGTTTTCTTATGTTTGTTTCTTGTTAATGAAACTGTGAAAATGTCTATTTATTTTCCGAGCGATCAGGCGTATTTTACATACCGGGCGATCAGGCGTATTTTACATATAAACAAGCAAGGAAGAATGTTATAATAACTCGAATATTCTGTTATCAAAACATTCTTCTTTGCTTGTTTATATGTAAAATACGCCTGATCGCACAGCAAATACATAGACATTTTCACAGTTTTACTAATTATAAGAAGAAACGAGCATAAGATAGCGTTGCCATGATAACGCTATTTTTAAAGAATTTTTATTTTATTTATTGTCCAATTCCCAGAAATATTATTCATGATCTATCTGAAAATTACTTTTAATTACGATGTTTGTCCGGGATGTACTCCTAAACTACTGAACCGATTTTAATTTTTTTTGGCTCGTATCGTATCAAAATAGTTAGTATTTATTGGATTCTAGTCAAAAACTTCCTAAACTTTGTTATGTATGTTACAATATAAAAATGTCAACGACATACATTTTTTTTAAATACATCATTAACAATAGATCAAATCCAACATTGTCCTGAATTATTGCCGAAACACCTGACAAAAAATATATAATAAATCCTTTTGTTGAATTTGAATATCATTGACCTCGATTTAATGTTAAATTCCACAAAATGTTTTTGCCTTGTCATTTAAAAAATCATGTATTGTTCTGAAAGTATTTTTAGTGTCAAAAATTGTGAAATGAACAAAATCACAATGACAAATATTTCCTGCCAGAAAAATGGAAAATTGTAATAAATAGTGTGTAATTTTATTTGTTAATAACTATTTTTGTTCTAAGAATAGTTAACCTTCACTTAGTATTAGTACATAAGCCTAGTTCCCATCATATTTATTAATAATACAAGAAAAAAATTGCATATTTAAGTTTGCGTTTTGTGATTATTGCATTGTTAATTATACTTATAATTAATTCGAGAAATAAAAATTTAAATATTTTTTCTCTCCACTAACAAAGACATTGGGTTCATAAGAGACTGTCACGATGTTTGTCCTGAATGTACTCCTAAACTACTAAACCGATTTTAATTTTTTGGCTCAATTTGTGCATTTATATCCAACTTAGGTTATAGGCTATATTAGAAATATCAGTTCATATTCGAAGTATTAAAATTTTACAAATTTCATTTAATTTTGACACAGAGAGAGAAAGATAGAGAAAGAAAGAAAATGAGAGAAAGAGAGAAAGAAAGATCGTGTCACGATGTTTGTCCTCAATGTACTCCTAAACTACTGAACCGATTTTAATTTTTTTTGACTCAAAAAACTTACGCATTTATATCCACCTTCGGTTATAGGCTATATTAAAAATCTCAGTTTATATAAGAAATATCAAAATTTTACAAATTTCATTTAATTTTGACACAGAGAAAGAAAGATAGATAGAGAGAGAAAGGAGTCAGAAAGAGAGATAGAGAGAGACAGATAGATAGAGAGATAGAAAGCGAGAAAGAGAGAGAAAGATCGTGTCACAATGTCCTTAATGTACTCCTAAACTACTGAACCGATTTTTATTGTTTTAGGCTCAACTTGTGCATTTATGTCCAACTCAGGTTATAGGCTATATCAAAAATCTCAGTTCATATTCAAAGTATTGAAATTTTAGAAATTTCTATTAATTTTGACATAAAACCACGACGAAGCAGTTGTTTTTAGAAGCTTTGAAATAAATTAATTTAGGATTTAAATTGTGCCGTATTCAGATATGACAAAATTCTAAAAATATTAAAAATTACAATTTGTAGTCGAAAAATTACATAAGTCGAAGATAAAATTTAAATAGAGTGAAAGTTGAAAAACTTAAATATTTAAGAAAAAATCTCAAAGGTATACTAATTTTATACTACGGATATGTATCAACAAGTACATAATAAAAACCATACTGCAAATAAAATATTAAACATCGAAAAAAAAATATTTTCGATATTAATTGTAAAAATATCAAATAAAGAGAAATATAATTTAATAAAAGCCACAGCAAAGCGTGGCCGGGTATGCTAGTATATATATACTATATATATATATATATATATATATATATATATATATATATATAATATTTTAGTAGCAATTGTTAGTAACCCACAAAATTATTTTTGGTTTAGTTCCATACTATTAGTATTTACTTAAACCACCAGCATTTAATATCACAATCAAAGTTCATATTTAAGTAAGATTTGGTTCATAATATTGCACCCAAAAAATTGCTCTTTTTGGAAAAATATATTATGTAATTTTAAACACCAAATTCCAAATTATTTATTTAAGTGCCTTAAAATCCAAATATTATAAGTCTAACGCATTTTTTTAAACAAATGTAGTAGTCACTTTTGGTAAAATAATTTATATAAAATAGTACTGTACACTTTTTAAGGATTTTTTCATAAAATTGAATTAAAATATATTGTATTTTATTATGCCAATTACCTACATGCCTTCATATTAAATTTAATAAATTTCAATTTCAATTTAGAAAACCATGCTTTTTTTTACTCACACTTTATTTTCATTCGGACCGTATGAAGGCGAATTTTTACTCGGATCAGGTCTATCTTGTCTAAAATAAATTGTGGACAAGATTTTTTTATATTAAGACAAATTATTTTGAGTTATTTTTTACCACCTCAACCGGATTAGCAACAATTTGTTTAAAACAAATATATAATAGGGTCCAATTCTCCGGTAAATTAGACCGTAACATAGGGTTGTTATGGCAACCGCCTTTCTTGGTCTAAAGGCTGTGAAAATCTGTAACTATTTGCTGTACGATCAGGCGTATTTTAGATATTAAACAGTAGTTATAAACGCGCATCACAAAGATGCAGTTATGATAACATTTTTTCTTGCTTTGTTCATATGTAAAATACGCCTGATCGCATAGGCAAATAGATAGACATTTTCACAGTTTTTGGTTGCCATAACAACGCTTTGTTATCATCTATTTTACCGCAGAATTGGCCCCATGATTTTAGACAATACAACATCGGTAAGCTTGTGCAAATATGTTTATAACATTTTTAAAGCTGCCATCTGATATTCTAATATTTATATTTATATTTTTACGTCATCAATTGCAAGGTTTTAATTGATATTTAAATAATTATTAATAAATAAAAAAAAACTTACCCATATCCTCCGTATCCACTTGAACCATAACCACTAGAACCATAACCACTTGAACCGTAACCACGGTCATAACCACCAGGTTCCCTGTAAATAAAACAAAGATTGTAAAAATTCATTTCATATATTCAAATTAATCAGATTAATCTTTTCTATATTCCTATCTTATCTAGAACTAAACCCAGGGGTAAATTTACGTGCTACAGATGGTGGCGCACTCTATGGAGAGCGCGAACAACTAAAATTGAGGTAACGGCAAAGCTGCTGTGTTTATAGATTTATACTGTTTTTATATACAGTTTTATTTAAAAGAGAATTTATGGACCGATTCTGTCAAATGTTATGGCAAGGCTATGTCACAAAGAACTTGTCATACTAAATTGACAAAGGTAATGCAGTTGCTGTGCAGTCAGGCGTATTTCTCAGGTTGTCACATAGAAAACCTACTCTAAAAACCGCACAAATGTCACAAGAACGATGTTAAATAACAGTGTGGTTTCTGACTCAGCTTCATAACATACGAGTGACGTTGCAGTTTATGTGTAAAACGGCTGAAAACACAGCAAATACATGACATTTTGACAGTATTCAGTATGATTCAGTAGCATAATGAATGCAATTTCTAGCGTAACATGGCCTTGCCATAACATTGGTTTGTTTTTTTTGGTATATATTTCTTTTACCTGTAATTCCATGCAGATGCATATCCCCTATCATAACCGCCGCCCCAAGACGATGATGGATATCTGGAACCTCCATAACCTCTATTTCGCAATTAATCAGCAAAGTAGATGATGATTATCATCCGAAACCTCTATAAGTTGTAGAGTAGTAGTATCCAAATAGTAAGTGAAATATGGTCTAATCTGGGAGGGCCTGAAGTAGCCTAAAAGTTTCAGAAAATCTAATTTGAGGGATAATTGTCATACTTTTATATTTTTAGGAAAAACCTTATTTTTTTTAACTTTTCTTAGGGTAAGTTATAGTAATAGCAAAAAATCGAAAATGAGCAATTTTCAGTTTTAAGAGCGTCCGATTTTAATAATTCAAAAAACATTTTACTTGTATTAACAAGATGCAGAACTGATCAAATTTTCATGAAGGCAGGTCTAGCGGTTTCGGAGATCTAGTGAAAATGGTAAAAAAAAATGCTATTTGGCGGTCAAAAATGATCATTAGACATATGCACATCAAATTATCAGATATTTTATAGAGATTTTAACAATAAGTATACATTTTGTTAACATTCCTATGGGTTCCGTACCAATGTTTACGCGTTAGACGGCGACGGCGCGCTTACGCGCTTTGATATTTCGTCTTTATGCAGTTAAAGCAGTACGATTGCTTTGAAAAAAAGTTTAGATCTTCCAAAATATGTCAAAATAAAGAAGAAAAAAAATTTTTTTCAAAAAAAAAAAAATTAAAAAAAAAAAAAAATTAAATTTTTTTTTTCAAAAAAAAGTAATTTTTTGTCCAATTTATAGTTTTTCAAAAATCTTATTTTTTCGAAGTAAAATTTTTTCAAAAATGTTAATTGTTTTAAAAAAAAAATAAAAACATTTGATACGGGAAGTTCCAGCAATTTGCCTTAAGGCACGATGCCTTAATTGCCAAGACAGAATTCCACTTACAGCTAGTTTATTTTAAAATCTTACCGCTAAATCTATCCATGTAACCACCTCTTCTGTCATCATATCTGTGAACAAATATAGTATTAATAAATAATATTGTAATAGCAGCAATAAAATAATTTATTTATTAAATATTTAGCAGAATTTTAAGTTGCCAAAATAAAGTTATAAATTAAATTTTGACTAAGGTTACTCAAATTTCATGTATTTATTCCGAATGTCTAAGCTTCAACGTGTTGATTTAAGATATTTCATTTCAATATTTATTATTATCTTCTATATATATAAAAATAAGTCGGGTTTTCCTTCCTGACGAAATAACTCCAGAACGCACGAACCGATTTCGAAAATTTTGCATTCGTTGGAAAGGTCTCTGCAAGGTTTATAGCTGAGAAAATTAGTGGTGCATGGCATCGTGCCTTAATGCAAATTGCTGGAACTTCACGCACCGTAATTAAAAATTTGAGTAATGACAGTGAGAATTATCGGAATTATGCTTGGCCAAGTCAACGAACAATTCTTGCCGCAAAGAATAATGATGCACACGCACTGATTTTCACCATTCAATCAAAAATTGCTGGCGATTTGGTGACATACCAATGATTCCGACTGGTCTTTCGTTTGACTTCAAACAATTGCAATTTCCAGTTCGCCTTGCGTTCGAAATAACAATTAACAAGTCGCAAGGTCAATAGCTTAGTGTTTGCGGGATAAATTTCAAATAGATTATTTAGAAAATCATTGTTCTTCACATGGGCAGTTATACGCTGCCTGTTCACGAGTTGCAAAACCATCCGCTTTGTTTGTGTTAACGTCAGACCAAAAAACAAAAAATGTGGTTTACCAAAGAGCACTACAATGAAACGGATGATTTGCGGATTCACTTTCATTTACTTAGAGAAGTTCAACTAACAAACACTTCATTTTTGTAATCAAAATAAATTCATTACTGTTGTGTAATAAAATCAAATTTTTCTTCCTTTGCAAATATAAAACAAACAAAAAATTTCTTCATCTTTCTCACGAAACCATCTGGTGGCGAAACGGAGTTCGTCGGGTTTGCTAGTTTGTTATATTTATTATATTTATATAATTTCCTATTATCCTATTATTGGATAATAGGAAATAATATAAATTAATTTATCAAAATTCAAACTCTATTATTTCTTTTCTAAGACATATGTCTTTTACGTCAAAGCTCAGACAAAAATATTCGTCATGAAAAAAGAATACCACCTGTCATAGTATCCATAGTACCTATCGGAGCCCCTGGAATCGTAGCCCCTATCGTAGCCCCTATCCATGCCCCTATTATCGTATCCGTTACCCCTGTAGGCGTCATCGTAACGGTCACGACCATAAAAACCGCCCCTGTCACGGTCATCGTAACCCCTGAAAAATAAAAAAAATTACAAAAATATTTGCAAGGGGCATTTTGCCTTCGGGCAAGTTGCTTAAACATCCCCTGGTATAAGAAAAACATCCATTTAATCAATTAGAAGTGAGATTTATAAGTATTTCTTTCTGAAACTATACCAAATTCCATACAAATTTTGTATTTCTGCAGATATCTTTCATAGTAGGTTTGGTGAAAACTCATTATGGAAATTAGTATAAATACTTGTTTCCATACAAAATTTAAATTTTGCTAGACATTCTTCATAGTGTGCGCGTGGAAATCTTTGTTTGGAAACTAGTATAGCAGCATTTAGTGCTATATAAAAATATTAAACATTATATCTATTACCAAGATTAGGTGTAAGTGGCATTTAGCCTTAAGACAAGTTGCATGATCTGATACGTGTAAATAATCAACTTAATCAATAAGAAGTGAGATTTATAAGTACTTCTCTCTGAAAATTGATAAACTATACTAAATTCCATACAAATTTTGTGTTTCCTCAGACAATCTTACATAGAACGTTTAATGAATCTCATTATGGAAATTAGTATAAATACTTGTTTCCATACAAAATTTGGATTTCGGCAGACATTCTTCATAGTGTGCGCGTGAAAATCTTTGTATGGAATCTAGTATAGTAGCATTTAGTGCTATGTAAAAATTTAAACATTCTATCTATTACCAAGAATTAGGTGTAAGTAGCATTTAGCCTTAAGGCAAGTTGCAGGTATAGACATATTCAACTTAATCAATAAAAAGTGACATTTGTTTGTATTTTTCTTCTTGGTACTTCTTTCTAAAATTTATTGAACTATACTAAATTCCATACAAATAATGCATTTCCTCAGAAATCTCATTATGGAAATCAGTATAAATACTTGTTTCCACACAAAATTTAAGATTTCGACAGACTTTCTTCATAGTGTGCGAGTGGAAATCTTTGTTTGGAAACTAGTATAGCAGCATTTAGTGCTATATAAAAATATTAAACATTCTATCTATTACCAAGAATTAGGTGTAAGTGGAATTTTGCCTTAAGGCAAGTTGCATGAACTTTTTGGTATAGACATAATCAACTTAATCAATAAGAAGTGAGATTTAGCAATTTAGGTGAAATATTAAAATTAATTATACCTGTCTGAGTAATAAGGCCTTCTGTCATCATATCGGTCTAAGGGCCTTCTTGAATAATCATCATAAGGTCTTCGATCGTCATAACCACCTCTGCAAAATGTAATAAAAATATTTGTAATAATAATAATAATGATATTTAAAAAACGAAGTTCTTACTGAAGCTCTTATATAACAACTTTTATATAATATTTTACAGAGCATTGTTTTGAATTGTTTTGGATTTTTAGAGTTATAAATATTTTGTTTTACTCTTTTCTATATATATGTAGGAAACTTTTTTCATAATATTTTTAATGGCATCGTTTTGAATTGATATTACATTGCAATTTTAAACATTATATTTCTTTCATCCCCACAAAATTATATAGACTAAAATAATATTACGCCAAAATTTGCCAATTTTCAACATTTATCATAAAAAAGTTATTTTGTTCAGAAGATTTCCTTTATTTTTCAGTTTTGCTAATTTTTTTAAAAGCCTGTTTTAAGTCTATAACTTAAAATAACATTTTATAAAGCTACTGATTCGGTATATGAGTTAAATTGCAATATGTGGTATTGAAAAAAGTTCCTAATATATATACAAGAGAGTAAAACAACATAATTTTAATAATCCAAATCAATTCAAAACAATGCTCTCAGAACACATGTTCAATTTTATGACTCTAACACAAACTATTATTCTGTATAGAGAAAAAAATCGTAACTAGTCTTTGACTTAAATTTTTATTAAATTATTTAAATATAAACATTTATTTATATATTTTTCGAAAGCTAATAAAATTATCTATAAATCTGTATGTAACGTTTTATAACTTTTGCAACAAAACTATATTAAAAAATCGTTTAAATTTTAATCTTTATATCAAGTGCTATGCATCTATTTTTGTGAACTAATATGGTTAAAAAAGACGTAATTTATGGTTTACAAGAGAGTAAAACAACAAAATTTTAATAATCCAAATCAATTCAAAACAATGCTCTCCGAACACATGTTTAATATTTATAACTTTTGCAACAATACTATATTTAAAAATTGTTTAAATTTTAATCTTTATATCAAGTGCTATGCATCTATTTTTGTAAACTAATATGGTTACATTTTCATATATTGTTATGGTTTTAGTGAATAATTTGTTTAAAGAAGTATTTATTGTAATATATCATTACAAAGCTAATAAAATTATCTACTAAACTGTATATAACGTTTGGAACAAAATTAAATTAAAAAAATGTTTAAACTTTATTATCTGATTCTGACGTCATTTTTGATAAACTAATATGTCTACCAGTTACATTTTTTATAATTTTATGAATTTTGTTAATAGTTTGTTAACACATGTATATATTATTATACATCATTAGGAAGCTAATAAAAATATCTATAAATCTGTATATAATATTTAATAACTTTTCAAACAAAATTATATTTAAATAAAAATTCAGCGCTTTAAGCTTTGAAATGAAAATGGTGAGACAAAATATATAACATTAGTTTCATGTTGCAGTTTTTTTTTATTTAGACGTTTATTTTATTATAACTATATAAAATATAACAGCAGTATTATATATCGTTAGAAAGCTAATAAAAT